ACGTGAAACAAATTTAAAGTCTTTCAAATTCTGTTCCCTTTTTTTCTCTTCTCAGACTGTTTAAATGTAAATTCATGTTCAAAATAATTCTCGTCCAATTTATAATTTGTTTCATACGTATGAAAGAAAAATTAAATTAAATTAAATGGAAGAGAATTGAGGTTATGTCACGTGAAACAAATTTAGAGTTTTTCAAATTCTGCTCCCTTTTTTTCTCAAACTATTGATGTTTTCTTCTCAAACTGTCTAAATGTAAATTCATGTTCAAAATAATTCTCCTCCGATTTATAATTTGTCTCATACGTATGGAGGAGAAATTAAATTGAATTAGATAAAAAAGAATTGAGGTTATGTTACGTGAAACAAATTTAAAGTCTTTCAAATTCTGTTCCCTTTTTTTCTCTTCTCAGACTGTTTAAATGTAAATTCATGTTCAAAATAATTCTCGTCCAATTTATAATTTGTTTCATACGTATGAAAGAAAAATTAAATTAAATTAAATGGAAGAGAATTGAGGTTATGTCACGTGAAACAAATTTAGAGTTTTTCAAATTCTGCTCCCTTTTTTTCTCAAACTATTGATGTTTTTTTCTCAAACTGTCTAAATGTAAATTCATGTTCAAAATAATTCTCCTCCGATTTATAATTTGTCTCATACGTATGGAGGAGAAATTAAATTGAATTAGATAAAAGAGAATTGAGGTTATGTCACGTGAAACAAATTTAAAGTCTTTCAAATTCTGTTCCCTTTTTTTCTCTTCTCAGACTGTTTAAATGTAAATTCATGTTCAAAATAATTCTCGTCCAATTTATAATTTGTTTCATACGTATGAAGGAAAAATTAAATTGAATTATATGGAAGAAAATTGAGGTTATGTTACGTGAAACAAATTTAGAGTCTTTCAAATTCTGTTCCCTTTTTTTCTCAAACTATCGATGTTCTCTTCTCAGACTGTCTAAATGTAAATTCATGTTCAAAATAATTCTCGTCCAATTTATAATTTGTTTCATACGTATGGACGAGAAATTAAATTGAATTAGATGGAAGAGAATTGAGGTTATGTCACGTGAAACAAATTCTTTCAAATTCTGTTCTCTATAAATTATTGTGTTTTTCTTCTCAGGGCATCTAAATTTAAATTCCTGTCCAGAATAACTTCTCTTCTATTTTTAATTTGTCTCGCGCAAAAATTTAACGCTCAGCGTCATTCAATTCAGGTTTAAAGTCTGTCCAAACTCTGCTCCCTTTTTTCTTAAATTATTGATACTCTCTTCGATTTATAATTTGTCTCGCTCAAAAATTTAACGCCTCGGCGTCATTCGATTCAGATTTAAAGTCTCCTAAACTCTGCTCTGTCCTTTTTCTTAAATTATCGGTGCCATGTTCTCAAACCCAAAACCCATGTGTCCAAAATAACTTCAATTTACAATTTCTGTCGTGACGAAGCCACGCGCAAAGTTCGATTGCTCGATATTTCTTTTTCCTTTTTCTTTTTCTCCATTCTAACGTACGAGACGCGTCACTAATCTCTCGGATAGAAGCCTTTAATCCAGTAAATAGCGGAGGGAACAGGCGCAATTCAGTTGACACGGATCGGCGTCGTCTTTGCAACGAGGTCTCCCGATGTGTGCGTTGTGTTAATTATGTCCTACATTTACTTCGCGTTTCACGAGGTCTCATCACGTTGGTCCGTCGCCGCGCACACGAAGGACTTAACGTCCTATTAAATCCTGCCACGGTGGCACAACGCGCGTTCACGTAAACGTAAATCCCATTCCGCGTCCAACGAATGACGAAAAGTGTATATTTTTAACAAGTGTCCTCGCCGTTTCCCTCCTCGTTCATTTTTCAACTATTTCGCAGCAAACACAGCTGAACGTTTATCGATCGTTTCGCCGACTAATATTTTTAACTCGCCGGCTGCAACGTGTTCTAATGCATCGTGGCTAATATTTGCACGACCAAAGTTCGCTATGTTCGGTAATTGGCAAACGCAATCGTAATTCACGCGTTCGCGAGTCTTACTTACTTGTATAAATAAACTAACGAAGCACGAATAAAGTTACAATGTTACAAGCTCGGAGTGTCCTTCAGTTTTTTTTTAGATTTCGACTGAACAGGACTTGCTCTTCTTTCGAGGACAAGCATGTTACGGTAGATCAAGAAATTATTGGCACGTCTAGTTTTGCCTGCGACATTTTCTTGTGAAAACGAGCGATAACACGATGCAGTAGCAAAATCTGTTTCCATAAATTGCCAGGAACACCAAGTGTGGCCAATACTGAATTTCCTAGCTGTATATTAATCATGAATTATGATCTTTAATTCTTTTAAAGTATCGACCCAAGTTGATGTAGTTTGGTCAAGTTTGAAGAAAAGAAAAAAAAGAATTAAATTCTGTAAAGAATAATATTTTTCCGTGAATAATAATACTTAAATGATAACAGTAATAATAATATTTATTATTCTATGTAGAGAATAAGAACTACAAAATTCCAAAAGTAACGTGTCAAGAAATAAAAAGGAAGAACAAAAATCAATGGCAAATGTATCTCGATATTTGTTGAGAATCGTGCCAACAGTGTTTATTTTCACATTTTTTTCGCAAGCGTAGATCGTTGGTTAAACGTTAATTAAAATTCCAGTAGCGTGAATGAGCAACGTTGCGAGTAAAGTATTCATTTACTGGAAAAAAATCGCTAGAAAAATACAAAGTATCATAGTAGTAGTTTTAAATATTATTTTAAATATTTTAAATATTCTTAGATATTATTATTATTAACATTATTTAAATATTTTAATATTATTATATTTAATATTATTTAAATATTTTGAATGTTATTTTAAATATTTTAAATATTATTCAGTAATATTTAAATATTGATATTTACTATTATTCAGTATTTAATTTTGAATTATTTACTATTATTCAATATTTAATTTTAAATATTCAATATTTAAATATTATTATTGTACATTATTTAAAGTTTTAAATATTATTCAAAGTTCTTTTTTCTTTTCGTGCTTTCCTTCAATGTATCATGAATCTAACAAGCGCATGCTTGTTTAATACAGAACGGAGGTAACCTTCTTGCGCCGCAGTTCATTACGCAAGGTGAAAACACGCAGTTAACAGTCTGTCTCGGACTCTAATACCGCTCTTTACGACAGTAGCCTAATTTTTAAGTCGAGTCACGAGCTCTGCCCCGACTTCCTCTCTTCGGACGTGGAAAACGAAACTCCTCTCTTTCAACCTCCCGAACGAGGACTGCCTTCTTTCTTCGAAACTTTTTATTCCGATCGTGTATTGACCACTCTCATGACGACATTACTTTTACTCCCCCTTTTTGCTCCTCTTTTGCTCGTGCTTATGCTTTCAACGATATTCTCTCTCTCTCTCTCTCTCTCTCTTCTCTTTTCTTTCCTTTTCTCTTCTTTTTTTTCTGTATACACGTATGTACACGTGTGTGCCAACTTCCTTTCTCTCTCTCTCTCTCTCTCTCTCTCTCTCTCTCTCTCTCTCTCTCTCTCTCTCTCTCTCTCTCTCTCTCTCTCTCTCTCTCTCCCCCTTTCTTTCTGGGTTAGTTGTTCATTTACTTTTCACGTTTACCCAGTTCACGTTCCTTCCTCCCTCTTCAAGTAGTTCTAAGCAATTTTTTAATACTGAAACTACGAAACCATTAAAGACGAATTTATAAGCGTTTGTTGGATATTCTATACACGAGAACGTTTTAGAACAGTGTATTTTTACAGATTTAAGTGATTTCTCGTGCAAATGTTATTTGGATGTATTATACATACACGCTTGTTCTCTTTTACTGTGAATATTAACACTAGAATTACCAGAATAGTAAACATGACCAATTTGTAATTTTTATTAAATATTTCAAAGATGTAAAACAGTGTACTTTCAAAGGTTTAAACGATCTACCGTACAAATGTTATTTCAGTATATTATATGCATATACCCATTCTCTTTCACTATGAATATTAACACTAGAATATAACCATAATGATCAAAGTGATCAATTTATAATTTTTGTTAGATATTTCAAAGACGTAAAACTGTATTCTTAGAGGTTTAAATGATTTTTCATACAAATGTTATTTCAGCATATTATGTGCATACACCCATTCTCTTTCAGTATGAATATTGATACTAGAATATAACCATAATGATCAAAGTGATCAATTTATAATTTTTCTTAGATATTTCAAAGACGTCAAACTGCATTCTTAGATATTTAAATGATTTTTCATACAAATGTTATTTCAGCATATTATGTGCATCCATTCTCTTTCAGTATGAATATTGATACTAGAATTACCAAAATGACAAAAATGACCAATTTATAATTTTTGTTAGATATTTCAGACAGCGTATTTCTAGAGATTTAAATGATTGTTTGTACAAAATCTATATAATAAAAGTTTGTATATTATTTTTTTCTAATGTAGTTCTACCGTTAGGATACCATCAAGTATATTTCTCCGAACAAACATTGTAATATTTAAAAAAGGCTGCTTACGTTGATTCCATCTTGGTAACCATTTTGGTAACAATAAATGCTCTGTTACAATCTAAAAAGAAAATTAATAATTCAGCATATTATAATAAAAATTAATAATAATTTCAGCATATTATTATATGCATACACTCATTCTCTTTCAGTATGAATATTGATACTAGAATTACCAAAATGACAAAAATGACCAATTTATAATTTTTGTTAGATATTTCAGACAGCGTATTTCTAGAGATTTAAATGATTGTTTGTACAAAATCTATATAATAAAAGTTTGTATATTATTTTTTTCTAATGCAGTTCTACCGTTAGGATACCATCAAGTATATTTCTCCGAACAAACATTGTAATATTTAAAAAAGGCTGCTTACGTTGATTCCATCTTGGTAACCATTTTGGTAACAATAAATATTCTATTACAATCTAAAAAGAAAATTAATAATTAATAGTCAGTATATATTGATAGTAACAGAAGGATGCTCTTTGTTACAGATTTCAAAATGGGTTGTTTCGGCAGCAAAGACAAGCTGAGCAAAGAGGATATGGATTTTCTCAAGTCGCACACGAGATACGACGAGGCAACTATAAAAGAATGGTACAAAGGATTCAAAGTAAGTACTATCGAGCGCCGTATCTGTCAACATCAGTACGCGTAATGTCGCGTGCACGTAATTCAACAGCGAGCAACATTTGAACGTGACAGATCGTCTATCAAAATTTCGGCCACCCGCCGATAAAATCATTTGTCAAAATTTCATCAACTGTCGCGCGAGATCAGTTCCACGCTCAAATTATTCACAAGCGACGAACGCCTCGGGGAATACAGATATTAATAGAAAACGTAAATGAACGGATCGTTCGATCGTTCATGCGACTGCGTCCATAACATTATTCATCGATCGAATGCTAAACGAGAGCCACGAAGAGGAAAGAATGCGAAATACATATTTTCTTTCGCTCCAACAGTTTAAACAGTTTATCGGGTCGTGAATCCGATTCCTGAAGGATCCTTCTGGCCATCCCCCAGCCTCTCGAGTATTTGCCTCCCGAGCTTCGTCAATCAGATAAAAATAAATAATCCGTATTATATGGCTCTGAAGCTGAATAAGTTTTCATTGCGCCCTTTCGAAATGCACACCGTGGTGCCGAGCCTTTTAATTGGACTTTCAACGGAGTCCAGGACAAAATCCCCGGACCGAAATCGGCCGGTCCGACTCGTCGGAGAGAAATAGAAAAAGTTAATTGCTCTCGAAGTTTCGCTGATCGATTTAAACAACCCGGGCAAAACTCGCGCGCGTCGCACGAACAAATTAAACTAAGCGAATCGTCATTACCCCATTGGGGACCGCTGTGTGTTTCGTTTGTATATACACACGCACGCAACTCGCATCTCAGGCGAGTAGAACTTCCTAGTTTCTCTCGATTATAATAGGCAAGCGTTCCAATCGAAACGAAATAAACGAGTTTAGCAACTATTTCGTGTGCCGCCGTCTTCCTCTCCCTCGTGTTCCATTCCATTCGTCATCCCGTGGTCTCGAGCAATTTCGTTTCAAAGGCGCGAAAGACTCTAACCTAAATTAAATCTAATTTAAACCTACCTTAAACCTAATCTAAATCTAAACTTAAACTAAACCTTTGTTACGTTCTTTTCCTCTTTTATATTATATTGTCTCTCTTTCTCTAATCTAACCTAAACCTAATTTAAACCTAATCTAAACATTTGTTACGTTTTCTTTCTCTTTTATCTTATATTGTCTTTCTCTCTCTAATCTAAACCTAAACCTAACCTAAACATTTGTTCTCTTCCTCTTTTATCTTGTATTCTCTCTCTCTCTCTCTCTCTCTCTCTCTCTCTCTCTCTCTCTCTCTCTCTCTCTCTCTC